GGAGGGGAAAGTGGGGAAAGAGAGTGCTGTAGGAGAAAAAGGGAACCGAATTAGGTTCCAGCCGCCGGGCGGAAGGAGGGATAGAGAGTTTTAGTAGTAATATTAGTTAGAGGGAGAGTAATCTTAGGGCAGGAATTAGATGGAAGCTGGRTAAGTAAAAAGAGTGGGGTTGTTGTCCTTTTTGTTTGTTTGCATGGTGGTATGAGGGATTTTGAGGAGTGTTTTATWGAAGACGAGTTGGTGGGCAAAAGCCCACAGATCAGAAGCTGGACACTTGCCCAGTGGTTGCAGTCTGAGTCGATCCGGGTTGTTTGTGAGGATTCCCGGCCTCAAGGTTGGTCTATAATGGAATTCCTCGCTTTTTCCCAAAAAAAAAAATAAAAAAAATTGGCGGGTGCTCAGTTGGTAAGGCACGCAAGTGGCATTCAGGAGGTCTTGGGTTCAATCCCAATTGGCCTCATGTACCTTCCTGGGCAAGCTTGGTGCCCGCCACCTAGAGATATGCTGTTGGTCCCGCCAAGTGGCATTAAAAAAGCAGTCTCTGCTGATGTTCATAGGGGGAGGGGTACTCAGGGAGGCACAGTGACTGGCCACTCAGATGATGCTCGGTCCCTCTGCTACGGGCTGTCCCCTGGCCGGTGTCCCCCGGTAGGGGGTTCCCTGAAGGCTATCAGGCCACCCTAAGGCTATCAGGCCACCCTGGGCTGAAAAGGCCACGGTGTCAGATTAGACACAAGATTGAATTTACCTGGGCTGGTTAGTCCGACGATAATACCTCGAGGCCATCGCCCTTACAAAAAAAAAAAAAAAAATTGGCGGGTCGACAACATAAGTGCAGGGAGGCTGTCGATCGCCGGTCAGCCACCGTCCTGGCTGCGCCCCCACGCCCAGCGTGGTATCGGTTCTTGGGGTGTCAGGCACACGAAACCAAAAAATGAAACGCATCTGCCCATGAAAGGTGGAAAAGTACAGTAAAGCGACGAACCTGGCCATTTCTGCAGGAAGATGCACTCGTCTCGTTTTTTGTGCCGCGACGCCCTTGGTTGCCTTCTGCGAAAGGACAAAAAGGGGAAAAAAACGAGACAAGTGCATCTGCGAAAGGACAAAAAGGGAAGAAAAAAAAAGCGAAAAAGAAAAGACCAGACGTCCGCCCTTCCTCCCAAAGAGGAAACAGTGGAGGCGGAGGTCGCCCGCTCACCGACTGGTCTTAGACTTGTGGGCGACCGGTCTTAGACTTGTGGGCGACCGGACCCTTCGACGTGAATTTCTAAAGGCCGTATTCTGCCCAAAAAGACCCTACCAAAGCTTCATTCGGACCGACGACAACGACAAAAAGACAATGGCAATAGACGCAGCCTTTTGGCTGCGAACTGGCGCGACGAAACTGCCTGGACCCCAAATACGAAATTGACAGCTTAGGGCCTCTCGTGATTTGCTAGGCCTGCCGAGGACCCAGATCCTCGCAGCTATATGACCAGGCGTTCTACTCAGGTGACGATAATAGGGTCCCAGATAAGCTCCCACGGGGACAAATCACGAGAACACGACCCGTGAAACTAGCAAGCCTTCTTTTGCTGATCCTTTGCCGAGCCGTACCTGTTACTGCTTGGCTCAATCGTAGAAGGAAAAAGGAAAAAAAGATCGGAGCAAGCAGCATGGTGCAAGGTATGCCACGTGCAAGGGAAACGACGCACACACGAAAAAAAGAATCTCTTTTTTTTTTTTTTCGAAAATTTTAAATTTTAAATTTATGCTTTAACTGCAAAAACACTGCTGAATCGTGCTGATTGTACTCCAAGGAAGCCAAGACAGTATAGGAAAAGAGCAAGAAACAACATGGACAATGATCTCAGACAGAGTAGTACCGATAAGCCCAGGAGCTATTCTTATAGGAAAGAAGTTTAAGAAACGCTATGGGTTTTATAACTTTTATTATATGAAGATAAAAAAGAAACTTGTTTTTGACACTTTTGTTTTGTTTTTGTTTTTTTTGGAACAGGTCCTTATGGCCCTGGCTCCATTTCCATTCTGGGAAGCATCAGTCCGGTTCCTTTTCCACCGGCAAGTCAGAATAGAATATTACATCATGAAAACACACTCACGCTTCCTTCCATCTCGCCGAAGGAACCCTGACCAGCATTGATTACTCCTGCATAATGGAGGATTTGACTGTCAGCTTGCCTTACTTCCACCTTTCCTCTCAGATCCATTGCACAAACCTGTCGGATGACTAATAAAGAGCAAGAAAGGTAAGAGAAGCCACGGAAGTTACAGTCCCGGAATTTGCCCTTCAATATGATGTGACCTGTGATGGATCTTGTCCTTCTGCTGGCTGGAATCTCTGTCTTCTCCACCCCGCTTCTGAGTTGTGCCAGTCTTTCCATCGTATGTGAGAGACATTTATCTCTGCCATTTTGCCCCTTACAAGCCACACCTTAGTGAATTTCGTCTTGATTCTTCTCTGTTGCTCTTCATCATCTGGCATGGACTGTCTCATCTTGTGCCATTTACAAAGGATCTCCGCCTGAATCAAAGTCCTTGTCTCCGCCCAAACCTTCTCCCTTGGAGTTGAGAGTCCCTAAATGGTTCTACACCACCTTTCCTTCCAGATGGACCAAAGCGTTACCTTTCTGTTCATTCCAAACCACGTTTTCTCTGTCTTGTCGAATTGAGCTGGGATGTTAGTCCATAAGAGGAGTTGGATGGGGTGTTCAGGGAGGGGAGTCGAGAAGAAGGAGTCCCAGAGATCCGAAGCCCTCGCCCAATATTCGGTCGCCTCTCTACATCGTATCAGGCAATGTAGCATATCTTCTGGTTCATTTTCTGAACACACCGCACATAAATCTGAACTGGTAGGGTCATTCTTGCTTCTTCTAATGTGTAGCCACTGGTTAACCGGTAGCGCTACGTATGAGATGAGCCATTGGAGGCTTCTGATTTTGACCAGACGAATTGACTTGAATTTTTTCCATGGTGTTTGTGGTATCTGATTAGCATCCTGACCTATTAACTTCTGCCATCTGTTCTTGATCGTTGGGTCAGGATCCTTTGTTTTGAGGAGTAGGTTGTAACCCAGTTTGACTGTGTATTCTTGAATGGAAATATTAGTTTTGAGAACTTTTGACTCTTGAGGCTTCTATTTCTGTCTGGTGTCCAAGCCCACTCTGCTGGATCAAATTCCAAGGCTTGAATCGCCGTATCCGTTCTGAAGATTGTTTTTGGCCATGACCCCAATACTCTGACTTTTTGAGTACAAAAGGGTCTAGGACTGTTCTTTCCACCTCCTTATTCAGGATAGATGGAGAGCCTTGCGTGGAGGGGGTAATTGGGAAGGAGGTGAACACTGCCAGGGTATCCGACCCTTGCTGTTTATGGGAGAATTGATAGGCCCTTGTGGGGGTTAAATCCTGCACCCTCACTCCCCATTCACCCGATTTCCAAGTTGAGCTTTCGCTCAACAACTCCTTCCAGCCTTCTGGGATGCAGTTGATAATGGATTGTAGATTCTCGTCTTGTCGGTGACATCCTTTGAGCTGGGAGCCAAGTTCCTGTTCTGTCACCCAATCCTTTTTCTCCTCGTTCCATAGATGGCTCACCTTCCAAACTCCATGTTTGATCCATGAAAGCCATCTCNCCTGTTCTGTCACCCAATCCTTTTTCTCCTCGTTCCATAGATGGCTCACCTTCCAAACTCCATGTTTGATCCATGAAAGCCATCTCCTTCCTCTATGCTTAAGGGATAGTTGGTGATCACTTTCATCCCTCACCCACGGATTACCAAGCCGGGGTTGCCTCAGTACCTCTTCCTTGGATTTGGGTCTACCCACTTTCCTTGGCATGACTTCCCGCCATATCCGCAGCAACGCAGTCCAATATGGTGTAGGGGGTCTGGATTCATTTGGATCGGTTCCTCTTCATTGATTTTTGCACCCTGTGCTTGGACTCCATTCCTTGGTCATTACCCAGAACAGGCCGGACATATTTGCTGGTGTGGCTGTAGGTGCTAAGCCCCTGATGCTATCCAAGGCCAGTTTATTCCATACCGTACCAGGTTTAGTTAGTAGTTTGACTATCCATTTAACTTGTAAGGCTTTGGTTTCCTGTTTGGGGTCTATGATACCAAGACCTCCCTCGGCTGGTTTCCTTGTGATGTAATGCCACGCTATCTTTGGTATGCAATTCGCTTTGTTGGGGTCACCCGGCCACATGTATGCTCTTGCTTTACGGTTAAGTTCCTTGATTGTATGGTCCGGAACTGTCCAGATTGACGCTATGTACCACATCATTGAAAAAATAGATGTGTTGATGGCTAATGCACATCCCAGCAATAATGTGAACGTATTACCCCATTTACCCAGTTTGTTAATTTGTTTGGTTAGGATATTTTGGGCCATTTGAGGGGCCAAGCCATCCTTTGTCAGCAAGATGGCTAGATATTGCGTAGGTGTCTCCGGTGTCTCCTATGTCATGTCTGCCTCAGGGCCTTGACGTTGGGGAATCTCCTCCTCCGATTGTTTTCTTCCAATTAATCTTCATTTATGATGCCAGTCTGAATGCTTCCATTGCTCTTACTAATGCACTGAACGACGAGTCTGAAGCTCTTATAAGGACCGTGAGATCGTCTCCAAACATAACTACTGTCGGGAAGTGTAGATGGTTTTTTTTTTTTTTTTGTGGAGAGAAAACTATTCTTATAGGAAGTACCCAGACACCTCAACTTCCACCTTTCCACCAATTCATCTTCAAGCTGCTGCGACAATAAACACTACGTTGGTATGTGTTGTATGATGGGAAAAAAGGCGTAAAAGCAGTAAAACCTTTAGACATTAGAAGGACCAGATGCCGTACCAGGGAACCTGCTAATAGGCATATAGCATAGACAGTAGAAACAGGCATAAGAGCCTTAATGGAAGAGATTCAACAGAATCAAAGGGCAAACAAGGGTTTTTCTCAGACTTTCTCCTGACAAGGAGTTGGTCCTTAGAAATCACTTTGCCAGCACAAAGCTAGGGTTTAGGCCTTTTTTAGGGTAAGATATGTAAGATAGAGGTGGACGGGATGAAGATTCGAGAATTAGGTTGTATTGCCAGCTGAGTATAGGACAAGGAATGGCATTGTTTCGGAGGAAGAACACAGCCAGGAAGCTTCCAAGAATGAAGAAGGCGAGGGCACAGAACGCTCAGTGGGTGTAGAAAAGACTACCTAACCCATAGGAGACAACTCCCTTGGAGCAAAAACTCTTGTGTTTTGCAGCTCCATCTAACAGCCTGCTTCTGGACTGAGAGGTGCTGTTAAGATGATCCCAGTTTCGACAAGTGCTTTTTCTGGGAAGGAATAGGCACCACCTCTGGGAAGGGGTATTGCGCTTAAACCGCCAGTACATGGCCCCAGCCTTGTGGAGAAATCTTTCATCACCTACGAGAACTTCAGAGGCTCGGGCCTAACGGACCACAATGGCTGGCGGCGCCAGCCAAAAAAGCAAAAAAAGTGCACTGCAGGCGGTTCGGCAAAGCTTGGCGGGCAGTGGAAGGCTGCCAGGCCCAGGTGTACTGGTGGTTTACGCCATCGGCTATTTGGCGGAAGGAGCCTACATCGATGGATTTGGCGGTGTCCCATCTTTCTAAAGGCTCCAAAAAGAATACCTTCAAGCCAATGTTTCGAGCATCTGCAAGTCCACCGTTTCGCTTTCGCAGAACCTTTATCGCTTTGTCGGGATATCGTCCAAGCAACCGGATGGATTGCTCAGAAGTGTCATCTGTGCTGCCATCATCCACAATAATCAGCTCCCACTTAGAGTATGTTTGTTTCAGTACCTGCAAGACAAGACATGTGGTTGCATCCGAGGAGTCAGTCTCTTTCTTTCCCATACTTCCCTCCCGTTCCCCCCCGCCCCCGTCTCCTCCTCCGCTAACAACAAGTTTGGTGACAATTCGTGGTCATCAATATGTACTATGTAGTACCTG